TGCACTCGCCTGGTCAACTCAGCGATGTTCTCCGCACTTAGTCTCCTCCACCTGATTTGTGTGTTGCCACTCAAAGCTCTCCTATGTTTCTCCCACCTGATCATAACATCCATCACGAGAAGCTTGTGTTGGGTAGTGACGTTTTCACTCGGAATTACTTTAGCATCCTTGCAGAGCACCCGATCACACCTGCGCAAGAAAAGATAGTCGATCTGTGTCGTCCCCACTCCACTAACAAATGTAGCCAAATGGTCGTCTCGTTTAGGGAAACACGAGTTAGCAACCACGAAATCACTCGCTCTGGCAAACTCCAAGAGTGAAACTCCCGCTGGGTTCCTGCTGCCAAAGCCAAAACCACCATGCACGTCCTCGAAGCCATCGACCGAATCTCCAATATGGCCATTGAAGTCGCCTCCAATGACGACTTTTTCAGTCAGTGGAAAACCAACAACCACCCCATCCAAGGCGTCCCAAAACTCCCTCTTTACTTCGTCTGCCAGGCCAACATGCGGGGCGTAAGCACTCACGGCATTGATCGCACAGCCACCCAAAACCAACTTGATAAACATTAGATGATCACTAATCCTCTTCACCTCCACCACAAACTCCCGCAGCTCCGGCGCCACCAGAATGCCGACTCCATTCATTCCCCTAGCTGAACCTGAATACCACAGTTTGAAACCATCAACCTCTCGCGCCTTAGTGCCCACCCGCCTGGTTTCTTGCACGCATGCCACCTGAATCCTTCTCCTCTTGAGAACTTGCACCAACTCAATCGACTTACCCGTGAGGGTCCCTATGTTCCATGAGCCGAAACGCACATGTGACACTACACTACCCCTCTGAGACCCTCCTACCCCCGTACCCCTCTACCCCCGTCCCAACCCCAGGATATGTCCCAATAGCTACATTGCTAACCCACACCACTACACCTACACAACAACACCAAAAAGCAAAGAAGAGACGAAGCAACTAACACAAAAACAGAAGGGTACGAACCACTACTAAAGACGGTAAGAGCAACAATGCAAATAACAGTAAAAGAGTACAGCAGTAGCACAAATAGTCAGCAATCTAAGCAACACCTTAACACACACAGTAGAGCAATAACAGCAATCAAATCACAAATCACAGAAGAGTGATAAAAAGCAGTAAAAGCAATAAGAACCCGGAGAAGGTTTGGAGCAGGGAAGGCCGGTGACGGAGCAAGGGTGGGGGACTGTAGC